CGTTACACATTACGTCGAAGCTTCCTCGGTGTTAACAGTAGTGCTCAGATGCGAGCGACTACAGGGGCTTCAAGATGGTCGAAGCCGTACCGGGTGTGTTGTGCAAACGCAGTTAACTACGGTAACGAAACACGTTTTGCTGGCTATACGTGCGGACACGCGCATATATATATATATATATATATATATATATATATAGTAGTTATGTAATATAAGCTAACATCTAAAAGGGCTTTCCGTGGAATACTCTCGGAGGATCGCGGCCGCATTGCACCTGTGACGCTAAATGCGAAACTGTAATCTCGCGTCTTAATCGCACTCCTGACGCGATCGGAGCGATATTTCTAGAATTTTGTCGTGCGATTACTTTCTACTTTAAATGCAAAGCTGGTACTCATAACCGTAGATAATCACGGATTAGTTTCAATCTCTGATTAAAAACTGCATTAATTGTAAATCCGTATTCATGAATCATTATTGAGCTTTTTATATATTCATATTTGATAAATCCATGTTTTACGAATTGCAGTTTGCAAACTCTGTCAATACATATTTAATATTTATAATCATTTAATTTTTGCTTACTGCCATGAATTATTGTCGATTGGTTTTGTTTTGGAATGAAAATTAAATTAAAATCTGTGTTGACATTCTTGCGAAAAAATCGCTTAAATTATTTCTGTACTTGTATTTATATTATACACATTCTTATTTTTTATACGCTTATTTTTTTCGCTACGAATTATCAAAGAATATTACACAAACATTTTTTTTCAAACGAGATAAACTTTATTTATGCGATTTTAGATTTATATGGAATATGCATTTTCTCTTCCTCTCTTCCTCTTTCTCTGTAACAAACTGGAAATTGGTTGGAGCAAGTTCTGTTTCTGCTTATTCGGAACCTGTATATTCGTATTATGAACTATCTCGAATGACGTATCACTGCGCGAATAGGCAGATGTATTGCGACATCACGTATTACGCAGATGGACACGCACGAGTATATTACACACGAGAATCTGACATTACGCGCGTACAGTGTCATTTGATAGATAAGATCGTTATAATATCCGAAGCGAATATAATAGAAGCGTGTTATTTGTATTACATTAGTTTTTTTAATCGTTTTACGAATGAGTTCTACACATTCGGTACCGATTGTTTTATTACTTTGTGTTATTACACAATGTGTTTCTTTTTTTTCGAACGAGATATTTTTTTGAAATTTCGATTATTTTGAAAACGTTATAAACCAAAGAAAGGTGATTTATTGTCGAATTTTTAAGACATCATATCTTTCGAATGAATATTTCCATATGAAATGTTTTGAAATATCTTTAGACGAAAAATATCAATTATATAATATACCTGAAAACTACTTATGGTCATTAACTTAAATAATTAAACTTTATTCTATTATTTATTATTAGTAACTTGGGATTAGGAATTTAAGAAGGAATGTTTTAAGACGAAAATTTGGCGATCTTTATAAAAATTAAATTTCCACTAAATATAGCAGTTATGGTTGAATTCTCTGAATATCCGAACAAGATTATCTTGCTCAACTAATTCTTCATATTGAGAGATGAGTGTCTATTACATCATGCAACATCTGCATCTGATGACTAACGCGACGTAGCTCTTGGCGTATCTTGCCTGCAGACATTTTCTCCTATAAGTTTGAACCATGGAGCTTTGCTCTGTGTAACAGGGTCAGTTCAAAGGTCGGTTGCTCTTAGCCAATTTTGCTTTAGTGTGCATTTGTTCTCATCTTTATATGTACATAACGCTTCAGTTTTATACATCAGTTATCGGCTATCGAAATGTTAAATGTAACTACTGTCAGTTACCCGAAGGAGATGTCGGATAAGTAAAGTTAAATAAAGAAAACTGACGGCAGACCGATAGAAGAATCATTTATTATGCGCTTTACAGACGTTTCCCTTTAAGCGTCTACTAAAGATACATAAAAGAGTCAGGAAAATTTAGTCGACAAAAAGATATAGCGCTTTGATAATGAATTTTACACGAATACTTTTCTTGTTGAAAATTGAGATACCTTTTTCCAAAATTTAATTTTCTGCTTGATTTTTTTGCAGCTTTTAAAACTACTATTGCACAAATATTTGCAGTCAAAAACACAGTTGAAAAGAAAACATAAAATATAAATAAAAAGAGAGAAAAACATAAAAATGACTTGTCTGCTTGTAGCATATAGCAAGCTTCAACACGCTTGCTGGCGTATAATTGGCCAATCCTTTCGCATGCGCACGTCACATTTTCGCGTGACCCGTCGTGATGCCGTCTGTTTTCTATCGTGCGCATAAATATCACGCGTTAGAGTTGTAAAAAGATGACTTGCCGTCCGCCTGCTCGCTCGCGTACGCTGGCTCACCTAAGTGGTAAACTTGTAAGTGGCGAAATAAAGTTGGGCAGGGTTCCGCGCGCGCAAGGTACCGTGTCTGTGACAGTTTAATTAATATCTTTCATCCTCAAAGGAAAAACTTGGCGAACTAACCGGCATGGACCAGGTCGCAATGCCGAGCCGGTTAGAACCACTTCAACTTCGGACGATCTCCCGCCAACGACAACGTTCTCTCCGCGGCGCGGCTCCATTCTTCTCTCGCTCTCGCGTTTAGCTTTCTCGTCTCGCGACTACTCGGATAAAGTTCTGTATAGTTTCCTCTTTTTTTACGTTTCGGGTAATTTTGCGTTTTGACGCTACCGAACGGTAAGATACGCGCGACAAAAAGTTTCCTCGGTGAACTTTCTCTTGGGAAGAATATGTAATCAAATATACAATGTTTTTATATGATTTTTTTATCATATAACACAAATAAGGTTTTAAAAATATGTAACATAAACATTTAATTAATAATTAACATATAAATAATTAGTAATCAAAATAATATACACAAATAATTACAAATGCAATAGATGCAATTTAGATGAATAATAATTTACTTTTTTATACGAAATAAAATGCTGCTACTTGTATTATTTTTTTTTTACAATGTCGGTGATTAAAAAAGAAAATCGTGTACACTTGTTCGACATGCATAGATCTTCTAGCCGCGTATCTGTGAATGCACTGGCGATTAGCTTCATAAAATATCGCGGCAGATAATGCGTTTCTCGGCTGTAGAAACCGCGAAAGAGGAAAAAAAATGAAGGTGATCTCTGACGGCGTGTAAGCCGCGACTTTTGAACAATCCGCAAAAATAAAATAAACGGCAATGAAATTCGTATGCATCGAGTTTGCAAATTCGCTACTGTATTCAACGTGGTCATTATACACTCTTTGAAGTGTCTCGTGAGCTTTATAAGCTCGTGATGTATTTACCTATTAAACTAAATTCGAATCTACGTTGATATTATGGTTTTCAAAGGCCATTCGGGAAATCGATGCAGAGTCAAAAGTGAAATAACAATGGGGCTTTTGGGGAAAGCCATTTATATTATCCGTTTACAAATATGAAAAGCTACATTTATGTTTTGCATTGCATTTATGCTGATATATAATGATAGATGCAGTTTTGCTATAATTGCTAAAATTGTAATGTGTAAGATTTTGTCTTCTCTTTTTTTAAGAGAAATAAAAAAAAAGAAAAGAAAAATTCTTTTATATATCTGGCAAAATGCAATTTGATTAATACGAAATTCTTATTGCAATTAATTATATAGTGAGAAAAGTTGAATTATTTTTGATATATCTTTTATTTATTTAAAGCTGTCAAAACTATTCTTCTATCTTGAATCGAGATTTGCGTGAAGGTATTTTTCTTCTTTTCTTTGCCAAACATTATCGGGCTTTATGATAAAGGCAGACAACGTATTGTCGTGGCAACATCGTATAAATCCGCCACGCATAGATAATATTTCATAATGCATTATTCAGATTTTTCACAAAGCTTTATACGCTTCGTGGGGAAGCTCTTCAGACGTCGTAGAGTAGATATCCGCTCGTGTCGGAAACACGTGACGTTACAGCGTTTATTTACTATTTGACACGTAATGCAAAGAAACCTTTCACTTATTGCCGGTCAAATATGCCTGATCATTAGCACAAGTGAAACACGCGATTTTTTCAAGTAATTTAAAACCACGTATCTTTTGAAGAAGGTATATACATAACTTTATACATGTATGTATAGTTACTAGACTTGAGCTGATTATTCAGAGAAAACAAAATTAAAATTTACGTTAAACAAAAATATTCTAAGTTTACGTTTAATTAAAAATACTCTAAAAAGAGCTAGACTCTTTCTATATAAAATCTTTTTATATTCAATATATTCATATATTGAATTATATATATATATCTGTTTTTCTTTATATAATGTCATCAAGTTTTAATCGTGATTGAGAGAGAAATATTTAACATTTAAAGAATCGATTGGAATCATTTCTCTTGTGAAAATGTAAACATTTTTCAGCAATTAATGTGACAGAAATATTTGTTACAAACAAAAGTTTGTATTTACAAATATAAATATTAAAAGTTATTAAATATTAAATGCATGTTTTAGTTATTAACCAATATATTCTACGTATATTAAGAGATATTGTGTGATGCAGTGATAACGTTTTATTTTCTTCCACTTTTACATTGTAAACTAATCTCCATTACTAAATTATGCAAAGTGATGAAAGGTTAATTTGTATTCACGTTGGTTATAAGTCGTAATTTATGCATGACTATAATTTGGGTATAACGGATAATCTTGTGCGAACCATATTGTGTACGTAAAGCGAAAGATATTCAGGGGGTGGATTTTTTTTTGGATTTATCAATGCTTATCGTACAGGACCGAGAGCAGTCTAAAAGACACTTGGAGCGACGAGTGTTCTTTATTTTTCTATTACCGGCGGTAATACGGGATATTTGTTCGCGCACATTCCTCGGCGCGTGCCATTAACGTCAGGGAGTCCTCCGCGACGCGAAGGAGCGAGGAAAGGAACTGGCAATATGCAGATGAGTATATACAGCTATGTACCTGATAGCGTCGGATTCGTCGCGGACGAGAGGCCGTCTTGGCGCATGGCGTCACTCGTAATTGCCGTTCCGCCGAGATTGGTGCTGTAGTCTTCGAGAAGTACGCAGCACAGTAATAGCCGTGCCACCCTCATTCTGAAAGAACGAAAGAAAAGCTGAACGATAATAACAGACTCGTGCTCCTTCTGTCTTGCTTTTTCTGTCTCTCTGCTTTTTTTCTCTACGTGTCTTGGATTTTTCTATACGAGGAAATTTTCCGTACAAATAATGTTTATTGTGTTTAGGTCCGCTTAACTGCTGGTCATAATTGTTACAATGTATATGACAGGTTTATATTATATTTCTCGATGTATGGTATACGTTTATTAAAATTTAAACGTACAATAATTAGTTAGTTAATTAATTAATTATTCATGAAAGGGCAACACAAATTGAAACCGAAATGATAACAACGTATATTCGTGAAATGTTTGCGAATTATTCCAATGTTTGAATTTAGATATTAAAACAAACAATGGTTATTTAAAGATATATTAAAACGCAAAGCTTTTATATAATACATATTGTGTTTTGGAAGCATTGAAACCTTCATTATTAAAGTTGAAGTTGATTTTATGCATAGCGAATTATGTAAATATCTTTAAAAAATAGCAGATTTTTTTAAACTTTTTTATATTTTTACATTTCCTGCAAAATTATAAAATTTATTTTATCTCTATTATTAAATTGATGTAGATTATATTTAAAAATCAATTTTTTAAAAACAATATATTAATATATGTATTATTGATGATATTCAAGTTTTTCATTTCAAAAATTTGATTATAAAATCAGTGCATCCTAATGCAAGTATATTTCTTTATATTTGCACATATCATCGAAATTTATGTATTGATTTATTATCATAACATTTTAAATAAGATGTGGAGATAAATAGTCAAAGAGAACGTTATTATATTTTCGAATAAAATTCCTTTAAAATAAAATTCCATTGAAAAAGATATTTACAATATTAATAATTAACTGTACCATCGTTTGTAATAGATACAATACGACAAAAGAGAAAGAAAGAAACGATTAAATTAATAAAAACAAACTTTAACACAGAAGTGAGACGTAAAATAAAGAAATACAAAACATATAAGGGCTGAAAACTATAAATTAAGCTAGAAGTAAAAAAATAGACGAACGACTCACTTAATCGGTCGTGCCTATCGCGAGAAAGCGAAGCTTCCATCCAGGGGGTGAAGCCCCCAAACCACCCTCGAACCTCGAACCACCGCCGAAGGCGTGCGAACTGGTTAACGTGTGTGAGAACTTTGCTCACACTCCTGCTCACTCTCTTGTGTCTCTTTTAGTCTCTTTTTTCGTCATTTTGCCCGCTCCTCCCTGTCTCCTTTCGATCGATACATTTGTCAAGCGACATATAAACGCCACTAAGCTCATGGCAATTCTGTGTAATGTACGTGCCCGAGAAGAATCGGCCGCCAAAATGTTTCGCCGGACTTGGATCGTATATCCTAAATCCTGAAACAAGCGGTCGTCGTCGTCCTTCGGGGAAACACGTGCGGGACAATTATACTTTACGCCATCCCGTAAATAACTATCTCTGCCGTTTAGCGGCGGTGATTTCAGTCCGGTGCACACGCGGTGGAATTTAAGGTTTCTCCTTTCTCCTTATACGCCGCGAGTAACTGTTTGTTCTTATTTACGACAGAACTAAATGAAAATCTTTCTCCCCGTTCTATCTCTCTCCGCAACTTTCTCGTTATCCTTTCTCCTTTTTATTCCCGCTCTCCGTCAATCTCCATCGTCCCTCTTTCCGCACGCCAATGTCAGATTATGGGCTCTTTGTCCAACCTCGCTTACGCGTGATCGATGGTCCTCGCGGATCGGGATGAAATGAAAGATCTCCCGGCGAAAGCATCGTGATTTCGAGAGATTTCCCTATCTTCAAGTTCCTGGTCAAGAAATATCCATGGAATATATCTTGCTTACTACTTTTTGTCACTTTTGTATCGCGCGGAAATACTTTCATTTTTAAATATCACTGTCGGGATATTTTCATCGTTGTCGTTTCCACCGCCCGTTTTCTCTGGCTCTTAATTTCGGCCTCACTTTCCGACTGGTACTTCCCTCGGGGTTCTTTTACCTCTCGAGTCTTTAGAAGCAGCTTCTCCTCTTGCAATTTTATCTGATGGAAGCCAAAGGAAAAACCCGGGGCCAAGCTGTTGAGCTCGAACTTAGCTTCCCGGACGAGCGAAAATCTCCCTGTGCGTTCGGTTATCTGCATAAAAAAAAAAATGTTTCGAATCGAAAAATTTTATTTCCATATTTTATTTCCGATCTCGATCCCTTCTGCTTCCTTGCGTCTTCGACTTTAATTCTCAGCGGCACATTTGGCGCAATAAAATCACGTCGTATCTCGATCGCGATGGATCTTGCGCGACAAATTCAAACATTTTAGCTTACTCATTCGGAGATCTGGTTTTTTATTTATCTTCTACGATATAGACGAAATACTTTTTCGCGTTCCGTCTAAGGACAGCACATATATCTCTCGGCAGCATCTCGATTCGATAAGATAGATACGGAAGAGAGAAAAATCCGAGGTCGTGCGCGCCGAAGGGCTTGATTTATTCGAGCGCGGCGAAAATCTTTTATTCCTCAATTATCGCCGCGTGAAAATATTTTAATCCGCGCCACGGAGTTTAATTCTCGCTCCATTTCCGCTGCTGTAATTTCCACGGCACTCGATATCTCTTTTCCTTTCTAAAAATATTTTTTCTGTCTATCCCTGTGTCCTTTTGATTGAATGCATTTTATTCTTCCACACGCTTCTATTGAATTTTTATTATCACGACTCATTATTTTACTCGCTGTATTACTGACGTGCTTTTTTGCCATTTAATCCTTTATCTTGTCTCTCTCTTTCTTTTTTTCTCTTTCTTTTCTGTTACTTACTTTTGGCGTTGCCATATTCCGAGTTTTTGCAATCGCTCACCGAGGAAATAATTTTCTATAAGACGCGAAATAAAAGCTTCGCGCTTATAAATCTGATTTTCGTCATTATTGGAAACCATCCACGGCAAAGAGATTGGCAATATCAACAGCCATAAAAAGACGATACGTTATACAAATGAAATACCATTTTATATTCATGCTCTTGAGCGTGTTTACAATCTCGGCTCGTTTGCCTACAAATAATCGCAGTATAGAAAGAAGAGTCAAAATGTTACTGCCGATCCGAAATGTCAATCCTACTGTGCGGCAATGTGATAGAACCGCGTTTGAGAAAATGCTAAAATCCCAGAAACGCTAAACGAGAAACACGAATCAAGGAGATTTATATGCGACCAAATTTTCCTCCTGCGAACGTAAATTCACTTCTCGCTGTGGAATAATGACTGTGAAAGTTTCCTGTTCTCTCGTTTCACTGTTGGAATTTCAGGATTTTCCGAAAAAGGATTAGCACAAGCGAAAAGCTTCGTACATACGTTTCTTCCAAGTCTTTTATTCAGCACGCTAAAAAATTTTTAAAATTTAGTGTTACTTACGAAGTAGAGAAAGAGAGAAAGAGAAAGAGAAAGGGGGTAGGAGAGGAGAGTAGGAGTCCGAATTAGCATGGTTGTGTGCGCAAATATTTACACGTATGTACACACATGATAGGTATGATTATTGTTATTTTTATAAGATAAAAATATTAAATATTTATAATACAAATGGTGGATATAAAACAAAATGATAAGAGTTATGCTATAATTTTAGGTTGTACTGTATATATACATATGATTGTACATTATCATTACTTTTAAATTTGTATATTTAAAATTAATTCTAAAATCAATTTATTCTTTAATATTATGTTTTTTCACTCGAATTTACAAGAAAATCTGCAAGAAGAAAAATAAAACTATGAATCAATTTGATGCAGACATATGTATATAATTGACATCTTTCCATTTTTCAATTTTGTATAATTTAGAAAAGAAAATGTGTCACTTTATTTCACTTTATAGATATCTCTGGATGCTAGATTAAAAAAAAAATAATCATATTCTGTGATATTATGCTTTCCCACACAACTTTGACTTATTTTTCTGTTTGACATTTTATATAATTTAGAAAAGGAAATTGTCAATTGTTTCATACTTATATTTCTGGATTCTTGTCCCAGATTCAAAAAAAGAAACTTTGAATAAAAATTCACATTTGTAGCATATATAGCTCTGTATTGAAAAACATATATATATTTTAGTAAGTTTCTTATTTTCTTTCGTAATAATTTTTTTTTAAACCAAATTTTAACGAACATGCTTATAGTATGTGGACAATTTTTCATTCTGAATTTCACGATTGATACAAGATTTGTGGCAGATAATACATAACGATATTGTTATAAAATATGATGTAATGACGACGTATATGCGAAACACGAGGGAGATGGTAACCTGAAGTGACATTGATCCCTATCGCGCGCGAATACAAATAGGTAGAAAGTTTAAAAAGTGATATATGACGAAAGAATTTACCGGTTTAGTTGCCGGGCTTAAACTGTCGTTCTCTGTAATAGTCGTTCATTTCGATCCGTTCCATTGATCCTCGCTCGATAAATCGATCGTGTCGCTCGAAAATCGCATTCGAGCCGAGTTAATCGCGTCCGAAACGACAATTGCAGAAAAACTCTCGAACGGCGGATCAATTTACCGAGAGACTTTATCTCAGTAGCGGGTCTCAATAATCTTTTTTCTTATGATAATACACCCCCGTCAAATGCGGCAGATTTGATTTTGCTCGCCGCGCCAGAGATCTCCACGATCTGCGATCCCTCATACCGAGGGACGTTATATCACTCCTGAATGATTTATTCCGGCTATTGCACCGCACCGAATGCTTTCTCTCTCTCTGGCCCTCTTTCATAACGCGAAGAATAATTCCAGCATATAATATCGCAGACAGACATATGTCTGCTTTATGAGTGACCGGCATTGTGCGAAAATGGATTAATTCGGATATGAGGCAAATCGGGCATAAATATCATTTCATTTGAATAGAATTGTTCTAAACATGCTACAACGGTGAATATAAATGCATCGTTGCGTGACATTTAGAGTCATATAAGGAAACATTAAATTGAATTTCGAAAATTTTTAAAAATTTATATAATATTATAAGATTTATATATATAATATTATATATTTCTTTATAAAAAATATTTATATTTATTTAATATTTCATGATCTAACTCCAACAATAAGTACACAATCGAAATATTTATGTAATTATCTTCATTTTTTTATTTATATGTATCTTTGGTTTGTAAAATAATCCTAATATTTTTTATGATTGGTTTTATTTTCTCTACATATGTATTTTTTCAGTTTTCTTTAATTTATCTAGATAAATGCAATATAATTTGCAAAATTTAACAAGATGTAAACTTATTTTTAATGCTTTTATTCCATAATATATCTATAGAATATATTTCGTGCATTACACGATATCATTGTTAAAACTTATTTTTTCTTAATAAAAATCGTAAAACATTAATTTTTTACAAGATACATATAATTATTAGAAGAGTTTTTAAGAATTATATTTATTATAATACGCATATATGTATACAAAATTGATGAGAAAATTTTATTTATTAGAATGTTAATTGATCTTTTAATATTGAATATTTTATTTTAATATTTGATATTTTAATTTAGTAGAATTTCTGTTTGTGGAATATTTAATATTTAGTTATTCATTTTTATTTAATTATTAATTATTTATATTTTAATATTTATATGAAGATTGAACTTTTAAAAATCATAATAAAAATTACAAGTTTTTGTTTAAAATAAAATATTTTTTTTTTTATAAAGTTGTGTAAAAAGTTGATCATTTTTTATATTAATAATATTACTTAAAACTAATAATTAATGATATTACTTAAAACTTAAAAATTTATATCTCTATACATTTATAATTTTAATAGATTTAATAATTAACAGTAATTTAATGTATTAAAATTAAAATAATTAAAAATGTATCTTTTTTGAAATAAAATACGTGGCTAAAGTCATTAGCAGCGCTATTAAATATATTTGTAGATTTCGTTTTATACAAAGCGTCATATATAAGCTCATCTCTCTATTTCTCGTATAGTTTCTACTTTTCCTCCCTGTTTGTCATGCGAGAAACACGCTCGGTATGCGGGTCATAATGGGAGGAAAAAAAGTATCTAAGGTACAGCACCCACGCATAAATGTGAAATATAGCGTAATAACTCACATCTTGCGTAAAATGCTCCAAAATGTCCTTTTAATAATATCGTTTATGTTAACGTAGCAGTAACATCAGTTTCACGCGTGTCGCGTCGACCGATTTTTATTTGAGATCTCGCCTGTGCCATGTTCTGTACCGGGGCAACTTATCATGTAAAAAGAACGCAACTACACTAGAATTAATGAGTTAACGTGGACACCGCTATCTTGTCTCTTATTTTACTTTTACACCAGACGCACATAATGTATTATCAAAAAATGGCAAAGACCACTCGCGTCTATCGACAATGATGATGAGTTGTTAATTGTTAGAGATGTCAAACTCACTCTTCGATCAGAGATCAAAGAATCACATTCTCGAGCATTACCTCGTCGCATTTGTGCGCATAATTGAAAAATAAATTATTTCACTATCAGAATGATAAAAAAAAATAATTTTATTAATTAATTGAAGAATGATTACCTCGCGAAAAAAGTGTAGCATTATAGTGGCAGGAATATGACACGACGCGCCATACGCGCTGTATATCCTTTCCTCTCACTTTTCTCTCGCGAAGTTTACACGACGGATTGACACCCCCACTGATCGACGGTGGTTCGCGCGGCGAAACTATACCTCCGTCGACGGACGCATCCCCGGGCGTCGAGACGCGTGTACTGACTGCGTCGAGTTGGTCGCGTCGTCGAGAGAGCGGCGTCGGGACGGCGTTCGCCGTGATGGGAAGCGTTCAACCCGCATGGCGCAGGCCCGCAGGACTATACGGTGTCGCTTTTCTTCTTTCTCTCTCTCTCTCTCTCTATCTTTCTCTCCTTTTCTTCCTTTTATCTCACTCTCTTTCTCACCCTATCGTTCGCGTCGTTGGATATAATATTCAATTTATTATGTATCTTTGATACATGCGGACCGTCGCGCCGGAAAAGTGGGAGGCGCGAATACACGACAGCCACGGGCTGCCGGCTCTTCTTCCGGGGAAAAATAAAAAAACGCAGAAAAATATGAAGAACGAGCGAGAAAGAGAAAAAAGTGGGGAGGAAAAGGTTGTGGGGGTGAGAGCTGGTGGTGGAGAACGTACAGAATCGGCGTTCCGTTGGAGGGTGAATTGTCGAGATATTGTCGATCGGGCAGCTCGGCCCTCGATAAAACGTCTCGGTCAAAACGTCCTCCTTTTTTGGTGCTCGATCGGCTGACGAACGGAAGAAAGAGAGCCCGAGACTCAAGTGCCGCTCGCTATGTCAAAGATGAGGGAATGAGGAAAAAGCACGACGGTGACAAGGATGACGACGATGCCAATGGCGCGTCAAGGGATCAAACTAGATGTAATCGTGCGGGTTCGTGCTCGCTCGTTTTCTCGCTAATTGTCGAACAAGTCGCTAAAACGTCCGATAATTTCGAGAGATTGTAGAACAATTTCGTCACGATTGATAAATCTCGAGTGAAGTCGAGGGGATAAGAGGATGAAAGAGGATTCCAATTCGTACGTGGTTTCAATAATCATGATTAAGCACTCGTCGATATTAATCGGAAGAGTAAGTTAAATATCACGCGCTAGGAGAATATCCTATCAACCTAATAATTGGAATCTGTATGAGTATGTTTTTTTTTTTTGCAAGATGATATCTTTAAAAGTTTATAAAGGCTAGAAAGAGATGAATCGTAGTATATCGTAAAAAGGGCTACTTCTCTTAAAGAGATATAATGTCATATTCGTAATAAATTTATTATTAATTTTAAGATATGTCCTCTCGAGAAGCGACAGGCGAAGTAGCTTATCTATCGCGAACTTGTTCTATCTTTCACTGTAATGAAGATTTTATTATAAGTCTGTCGAATCGAAAATTTATTTAGTGAGAATTAATAAACGCCACTATGAAAATATAATGCCAAATAGGAGGCAAAAAGTTCAAGATAAAGGCAATATAATTAGCTATCCATTTAGCTTATTAAAAGTTATTAAGAAGCTGCCAAGATATTACGAGATATTTACTTTCAATTCAAAATGATCTGTTATGAGAGATTATTTTCCATCGAAATTCTTTAAAAGAAGAATAAATGTATTTCATTTCGCGATATCAGATTTCTATATCTTCAATATTTTCGAGCGTATTTTCTGGTCACTCTCGTGCAAAGTTAAATAATTGTTGACACAAAATTGTTTATTAATTCTATAAATTATATATTACTTACAGTCCAGTCTGTAAAATATACACATTAGTATACAATTTTATACAAAAATAAATACATTTCTCTTTGCTAGTTAACTTAATAATATTTCTGAAAATGTTAATTATGTCCTATATATTAGTATAACGAAACTTTCTGCAGTTGATCGCGAAAATGTCTTAAAAATAGAACTAAGAGCTTAGCTTATTGTAAAATAAATGATACTTGAGATCCTTTTAAGCACATTCAGTCACTAATGTTGTAAACGACGAGAATAAGTTAATTGATATACACTCGCGAGGATAAAATTATGTCAGCGGATTAGGCAAAAGTACGAGCGGATGGTAGATACACCTTGGTGCAGTACAAGGTGTTAGAGGCGCATGAAAAATCGTGAAAATTTTTTCTAATATCGTAACACGAGGCGTACCGAGGTACAAAGGCGCGTACTTGCGAGGCATAAGGTCGGAATTTATGAGAGAAGAACATTCCCAGGGATAGTGCCGCGGCTTCCTTCCTTCTCCCTTCTCTTCTCTTTCTCCTTCTTCTTTTCCGGGCGGCTCCTCAATTATGACAGTGAGAAAAAGTACACATTAAGGGGATTGCTCGGGAGCGGCTGAAGCAAGCACATGCATAGCGCGCTACAAAATTGCCGCTTAAGCTGCAGTGGGCGGTGATAAATGTAGAAAGGTTAGAAGCGCGTTTTGACGGGAAGAAAAGAAGAGAAAAGAAAAAAAAAAGGCTCTGGGGTGGTCCTACCGCGAAAAGCTCGATGTGCTTATTAAAAGAAAGGTAGACTGATGAACTGCAAGCCTAGCGTCTCTCTCATCCTCTCACCGCACAACTCCATGATGAAGGGACGCAATGAGATTAACCGTATTCATTTGTGGTGCCTGCCCGCTTGTGCCCTCACCCTCGGTGGAGATTGAGAATTTTTTAGGTCGCGCTCCTCAATCATAAATCCATTAAAAACCTAACAACCATCGCGCGAGCGCATGTGCGCGGGAGTGTATCTTTGTATGTGTGTCGTGTGACAAATGCATTAACTTTTAATAGGGGCCCTCTCCGCGGGCGAAAACAATGCTTCGAACTGATTTAACGTTGGCGATAATTGGACGCTCGATATCAGGAGTAACGGCCAACTTTTTTGCCGCCTGATTTAATATTAGCGGTAGATGTTCGTTCGCGTTCGCGCGGGACCAAACGGAGAGAGCGGCTACATGGCGCTGGTAATTATCGAAAAAACATACTGCAACTTCGGCCTCAATCTGACCGGGAGTAATGGCTCGTTACTTCGGAAACGACGCTTCGGAAGCCTCGCGCGAGACCGGAAGCACGAACGATGCGGACTGCATCGTTATGCAACGACGATTCAGGTTTCTGTACTCGACAAGCGCGGATCTAAGTCCAAAGAGAAATTTTGCGGAGAAAAACTTGCCGGGCTTCAGAATTACGAATACATTTGCAAAGTAAATTGAAAAGAAATGGAAACAACACAAATTCGATCAGTTTGAAATTTATATAGAAACTAATGTAAAAAAAAATTAAAAATGTACATCGTTTATATAAATCTTTTTTTCTCGTAATGTAATTATATTATTTTCTGTCATAATCATACTTAAAAGTTTTTCTCCTTTTGGATTTATTTCTTTTCGTAGTTTGTACAGTCTCTTTTCTTGACTTCGCGATGAGATATAGATACATCAAAATCGGTAAAAGTTCGCGCGCTCTCTCTTTCTCTCTCTCGCCTTTGTTGTTTTTTACTTTTTTTAAGATACGCGTAATTATCCACCTTTATGCGCCGATGCTTTGCGAAAATTGGCGATAAGTTAATAGATAACACGAACAAAAGGAAGCGCGAATGCTTCTGTTTTTTCTATTTATCGAGGGAAATGCTTCGAAGAATATGAATGGAGATATTGGATCGTATGAATAAACTGCAGCAAATGCTTTTGCCTTTATTCATCGAAGGAAATGCTTCGAGAAATACGAATGAAAATATCGAAGCACATGCTTATTTCTCGGAGGTAAAGCATTTCCTTTTCTACAAGTAAAGAAGCTGCGGCGCATGCTGTATAATTGAGAAAGAGAACATTTATTATCTATAAAATATATGTACATATAATATATTTAAATATACACAAACATAATATGTATAAACTATAATTGTAAATTATAATATGATATAAGATGAATGTAAATCTAATGGTTTTTAGTTGCGCACATATTATAATAAATTTATATAATTTTGCAATTTAAATCAATGATTTTCACTCGTAGTAGCGTTGACAAATAAAATTTACAAACATATTGTTCAGACTAACGCGTGTTTGAATTATGCTATACAAAAAATTACAGACACTCGTTTTGTATTTTTTAAAATTTTTATTTAAATCTGTGATATATAATGGGATATATATACTTATTTCTACGTCATAACTTACGCACTATATATGTATAATACATATATTAATAAGCCAATTTTCTCTTTTCAGGACAGAGACGATAGTGCATATTGAGCCCCCATACTTAGCAGACGATCTTTTGCAGAAATTTGATAGAGTGCTGAAATAGTCTACGCTAAGTAAGTGTTCTAAACAGTATTATTAATATAATAACGATTCTATTTAAAATTCCATTTAATTTCATAGCATTTATCTCAATAATAGAATGAATGCTTTTATTTCTTTATTTAATTAAGATAATGAATAATCCTCGTAATTATGTTAATGGTTAACACATATATGATTATTATGGCGGTTACTACTTTAATGAATAGTTGAAGCAGTACATACACTTTCGAATTTCACGTTCTTTTACTAAAAGGTATTCTGAATTCACTTGCAATTCGGAAAAAAAAACCCAAATCAATTAGAAGCTCATTTCTGTGTACCGAGCCCGTAAGTGGCTAATTAAATATTTTAAGCCTCTGGTTTCTGTAATTAACAAAATGACGTGTACCGAATGCGATCACTGGAACTGCAAAACATATATTACATATGTAATCACCACGCGTATTTTGATTCCAGTTGAATTAATATATATTTTGGTTTCACTGCCCGAATCAGGCATCAAAATATTATAAAGTGATATCCAAAGTCCTCTTTTATGTTAGCGAAATTATGAAATTATCAAATCTATTAAATAAATTGTTTAAATAGACGAGAATAATAATGATAGAAGTCAAATTGCTTATCGTAATATTCAAGTATTTTACTTTCGCGTTAATTAGGTAAAAGTATCATAAATAATATGAATTTTATCTCAGCTATATATTCGACGCAGATTTAAATTATATAATAAAATAAATAATAATAATAACACATATCTGAAAAACGATATAATTTAATTAAAAATAAAATGAAATTGCTTTACGAAGAGAACAGGAGGCATAAGTAATCCTAAATGGACAACTGGGACATTTTCTGAAAAGTTTTGATATTTCATGGTTATTGTTAGAGGAATCGCAAGCTTTCAGTGTATCGAAGGCAATAACAGAGTTCTGTCATTGGACAAAATGATTGTAGTTGTGTATAGCTACGATTACGTATCTAATACTGTTATCGACTGTAATATATTGAGAGAACCGTATTATATCTGAATCGGAATTATATATAGTTACTGCTGTACAGAGAGAACTTAGGAAATAATGGTCTTCTCAGAAATGTTCGAATAGTGATAAAGTGGCATGTACAGTTGAAAGGTCGGAGGTCGCTGCAAACTTCATTATAAAGCTGTGCACGATGTAAAACGATGGCAACGAGATATCTTCTTTTGTAACTTTGCTTAAGGAGCGTAATATCCCGGCGGACTTTTGCGATCCGTAGCGGCGAAAAGCTTGCAGCGGTGCAATGCTTTAACGTACTTTATAAACGCTAATTACGTCCAAAACGTATTATTATGTTTTTAATGAAAATTGAAAACAGTAATGAAGAGATTGTACTTTTACCAACATTTTTTCACTTTTCTTTTGCCATTGTTTTTGTCTCCTGTTCTACGCAAATATTCCGCCTCTACGTGTTGTTCCTCCGCAGCTCTTCCATCAAGAGCTAGTAAAATGTAACACATTACGGGAGCCGTGGATGTTACATGTTTGATATTTGCAGCACGCGCAAATGCGAAGAAAATATTCGTTAGCATGGTGCACCACTGTATTAATTTCGGTACTGCATGGAAACACGCGCGATATCGCTGCAGTATCGTACTCGAGTACGTCCACTGGACTCAATAACGACGTCTGTTTGATCACGTTTGGAAAATAAAACGCGCGTGCGGAAGTGCACGTATAGTTCGTATAGGATAGTCGTTCGAAAATATTTTTCCGGACCTACACTGCATAAATCTGGGAGTGATTTATTTACTGGGTTTTTATATCGGATTTCGTCACACACCCGTTCCCATAGACTTTCAGCCCCAGCCCGCAAATAAGTATAATGTGCCGATATTGCGATATTACTATAAAGCATCGATGATTTTTTAATATAATACTTTGGTATTTTTTTCGATATTACAGCTACTAGAAATTGAAGCTCTGATTTTTTTCCACTTTATAAAGCTTTCCCTCTTACATTTCTTTCTCGTTTAATAAGTTTTCTTTTATTGCATATCTAGGCGCTATTTATAAATTCAGTTAGAATCCTCTCTGAGAAAAAACTTGTTCATTTAATTTATAACGTCCTCATTTTTTTTTATTTGAAATTATTCAATTATATTTTATTGCAGTCACATTATTCTTAACTTTTATTCGCGAGAATTTTCCGTGCGTTACATCCTCCGGATGCGCGTGTTTAAATTATATATACCATCTTTTGTATGCACACTGTACACATATACGTGCACAATACATTGGAGCGTAAGTCTGATCTGCAAAATCCTTGTGCAGAGAAAAGGAAGGATTGTGCACGTGTCGTTCCTCGCGCGAGCCCATCCGGAAAATGCGTTTACCTTTTCGCGTAAACCTACTAATGCCGCCGAAATTCTGCACACACGTATGCACTGCCGCGTTTCCGAGACGTATATGTATACGTGTCTATCGTCTGTAGTATATACTTCATAAAATACGTGACTTCGCGTATTTTCGTCAGCTTATCTTCACCACCGCACACATCTCGCGTACATACACGTACATACATCTACACATATCCTACCATCCGAAAGTCTTAAGATAAAAGCTAATTTGTCACGTTTATACATGCAGTTTTGCGTAATAATTTTCTTCAATTGCATCGTTCGTTATCATTTGTGAAACATGTTTTTTTTTTTTTTTTTTTAATGAAACGCATTTTATCTCGCGTAATTTTTCCTCTTCATCACGTGATTGCACGTTAAGATAGGTAATTTTCTTTTCTACTCTTAATGCGCGCTTGTTCGTCCTAAAATTTTCGAATAACATTATACGTGCGTGCATATACATACAATGTACGTATGACGCGCCAGAGCATGTATATGCAATTGAATGAATGTTACATTCGAGCGCATGTGCGTGTATGTGTGTGCATGTGCATCATGTGTGACGCGAGTCGATACGTCGGTGCCCGTGTCGTACGTCGCGGCGACGACATGTGCATCGACGTGCATCGGCAATGCGCAACGTTAAATGTACCGGGTGCCGTTCCGAAATTAAGCGGCGGAATAAGCCGCCTCCGTCGCCGCGATAAAAAGACAATTCGTGGACAATTCGATGAGAGTTTGCTGCCAGGCGAATTCTGAAAAACCGTAAAACATCGGGACGCTTTCCCGCGATCGTTTCACGAGTAATTTCACGTCGATGTACCGGTTACCTTAGTAACAGTAGAGACTAGGATTTCATGGCTTTTAAGAGAACGTGGGAATGGACGTGGGTAAGATCCGAACAGAATATTAATCGGTTTGGCACGACATCGTATACTCTCTTCATCATCGAGCATTGACTGGAGATATAAAGCATACTCGATCACTTTTTTTTAAACACAGATATCAAGATTTGTGTCATTGCTATTTCATTTTAATCGATATTTTTTCTGCATTTAAACGACAGATTTTTTAAACGATAGATGCAAAGTCTCTCAAAATAAAATACATTATTGAAATTATCTCCGTTTATCGTGAGGCAATTTTATTCCCAAGGGAGAGCGGGAGTAATTAAGCCAGGTTCTTTCTTTTGTTAAATTATCAGAAATTATAAAACCATTGAAACTAGAATTTTTAATCATTTTTGTCTTCATGTGAAATGATACGTCAACTTCAACTGAGATAGTTTTCTGACTTTGAGTGAATGATCAAAGAATAATTTGGCAAATTGTGTTTTGGTGATACAAATAGATAAAAACTTGTTTTGCAGTTAATCGAATAATAATTTGATATTTATGTTCATGAATGTATAGCCTTTTTGGACACCCTCTAAACGAGGTATTAACTGTCGCAAAATTGGATGTTTCTGCTATTAATTTGATTATATCGGTTTATTGATAAACGCACTGCAGACAGATTTTCGTCGAAACACGAGAATGGCAAAATCAAATTTCCTTTGGAATATTTATAATTACTGTAATGGTTACCGTTCGCATTACATCGAAACACAAACATGTTTTAGCCCATTAAAAGTTGCATGAATATTAGTATAATATATATATATATATATATATATATATATATATATATTATAATATTGATATTATCTACATATATAGGTTTCAGTGTTCATTTCATTGAATATTGAAATATAATTGGTACAAAACTATATTAAAATATATTTATGTCTGGGTGCGTGTGTGTGCCAATTTATATTAATTACTATATTACCGTGTTTATTACTATTAATAATATTTTTAAAGCAAAAATATTTTATCATGCCTCGATTTACAGTGAAAAATTAATTGTAAAAATGTATATGCGAAACTTATATGTTTTTATATTATATATATATATATATATATATATATATATATATATATTCTCCATTATGAACTTTTCTATTATGAAAACTTTGATACTTTCGAGAAAAAAGTTTTTCATAACAGTAGGTATATTTTAAACTATTTTTTTAAAATATAAAAAGTGATTTTCCTGGACTTTAACATATCTAAATAGAATAAAAGTATATCAAAAAATAAATATCTGAATAGATAATATTATGAAATGATGAATATGTGAAATTAAAAAAAAACGAAGAATTTAAAGGAGTTTGATTAAAGCATCGGATTTATTTTCTCCGACCGCTGAAAATCTGGAATTTTCGCGTGTATAGCAAATAAACGCAAACGCATGTGAGAGCGTCAAGTATCGGCGAGCGACTCGAAATGATCATCAGGGAAAACGCAGATCCGGGAAAGATGCGTTGGGGCGTGCGCGCGCCGCCACCGCGTGTGTTGATTTCTAAATGCATCCGTAATCCCGGTGAGAGATCGATGGTTTTAATCAAGAGAGTGTCTTCCCCGCCCTCAGTACGCTCAGCCGCCTGCTCTCGCGAGGTAACGTATCTCTTTCTCTCTCGCTCTTTCCCTCGCGGTTTATTTTTAAAATAAAAAATAACTTGCGCGCGCGCGCGCGCTTCACGATTCGGCGAGGAAAGGGATGAAAAAAGGGAAAAATATTCACAGGTCTCGT